CAGCCAGGGCCCGACACATTATGTTTTTATGTGCATCCCAAACGGTCAACACATAAAAGACAGTGTTTGTGTACATAACACCTTTTTAAGGAATTCCTTGAAATTTGACACAGCTGTTCACTGGGACTGAGTGATCGGGTTTTGATAGTCAGCTGTCAGCGTCGCTAATGTGACATTTCATAAAAGCCTCGAGGGGAATTGGTACAAAATGGGCTGTTGAAGCCAGGCTTTGCCTGAGTGGCCCACACTGGATTAATAATGATCATATTTCAGCATATCGGGGGGCTCATTTAGGAGTCTACAAAGGTTTGGTTGTTGCTTGCTACTTAGCCCCAACACTTCCAGCCTTGTGCCTTCTCAGCTGATTGACAAACCACGTTCCTGCTGTGGAAGACTTTCCCAAAGAAAGCATTTTATTGGGTCGCAGCTAGCAATGGTAGACCTTCTACCGTATGAATATTCAGAATCTGTAGGTAGAGATTACTTTTTAGCACCTGAAGCTGTCTGGTTTCCATTTCTAGTCTGATTTTAGTCCTTCTGACAGGTGCACAAGTAGTTGCTTACCTGCAGGTCAGATAACCAGAGGAAATCCTGGCCCAATTATCTACTGGCTACACCCCAGGCCTTCCCCCAGAAGCTCTGCTGTTATTACTGACATCGACATTAGTCAGTGTGTTTTGAGACTGAAGTTACTCTGACCTCACAAAACACTTTTTTGCAATAACTGAGTCTCGTTAGGATACAGTTTCACTTAAATTTCTTAATATTATAAAACCATCAGGTGGTTATTTTGTACATCACGGTAGTAATTCAGCTTTATGGATTAATAACTCCCCGTCGTGGCTTGTTATCCCCTCACAAAATGGTCTCCAGTTGTAGAGCAATTACTGCTCTGTAATCACTTTTATTGTCGTGTAAGTTTGTTTTGTGCGTGTGCAGTTTTGTGTGCCGGCTCCTTGGCCGGGCCGCCAAGTCTGCAGTCTGTGTGCGCTGTGCTGCTCTGCCAGTCAGATCACAAAATGCCAGTTTTCTCTGTGTACACTGCCACTGTGTTTCATTGAGTTGGCTGTATCAAACTAGTTCTAATCTCCTACCAAGGTGAATGTCAGACCTGCTCTTTTACCAGCTGACACTCTGCCTCTGAAGAACCTGAGAATACTATTTGGCAAAAGATTATTGTGCAGGCAGGACTCACACAGGACTAAAGCAGCCAAAACCCTCAGTCACTGATGTGAAGTTCACTGAGGCCTGAACTTCCAGAAATTCCCCTGGCTCTTATTTGTGAAACATTTCTTCAGAGACACGGATCATGTCCCAGACATGTATTGTCAGCTGGTCCTTGGTGTGAAGGAAAAGCTCCCGGAGTAATCACCAAGAGAGTTTCTTAAAGGAATTTCCACTGAGGCATGGATCCTATGAAAGTGATTAGCAAAACCATCTTTTGATGACAGGTCAACTGTTACAGTCTGTTACCTGTTAAAGGTGGCCTAATGGCCCTCCTCTTCATTTTCCCCCCCATCTGCGTTGTATTTCCAGTGTTAGCAAAACACACTGCTGCTACTGTGAAGGCAGATCAAGTGAGGCAGCTACAGATTTTTAAATAATCTGACATTTAGCTCACAGCTTTGATTCTTTTATCTTTTCAACACTGAACAAAAAGAGCTGTCTGGACTACCTGACAATAAAACTGATTAAATGACCTGAGGTTTGGCTGCTGTTTAGCATTCATCCATGTGGGGCAGTGTAGCCCTGTGATAGAGCCACACTGAGTCCTCAGTGTACTCCTGCTGCACTGCTCCTCTTTCCTCTTTGCCTGCACTTTTCTGTGTTCTTGCTATTCTGATGAACTATGCCCAGTTCCAGTACAACCGCCACACTACCTGAAGCTGCCCCTCATAGAGTCGAGGTTTGTCTACTACAAATAGACCTTAGCCACGACAAAGACTGATTTGAGGCTTTGGGATACTCAGGGACTCTCAGAATACTAAAGCAGTGGAGCTTTCATCAGCTTGTTATAATCAGCAGTGACACCATGCAAGTACCGGTGAGCCTTTCAGCTACAGGTTTAATATTGTCACTGCTCAGAACTGCTGCAGCCCAAGAAGATGCCTGTGCTGTAACATCGTCAGCCATTTTTACACAAAGATCGCACATTTTTGCTGTTCTGAGATCACTCCCCGTGCTGTCCCAGCTGCACAAAACCAGCATAATGCTTTCCCCAGTTGTGTAATTTTTACATAACAGGCCTGCACTTAGAATTCTGAGAGTCATAACAAATGTGACACATAAGGTTTGATGTTGGAAATATGAGGGGATATATCACCTTAGTCTTATCGCTGGGTGTTTGTCTCGTCTGTTTGCCTTTGTCTCGGTTGCTTTGCTACCTAATTTAAGAGTCTGTCTTCTTCAGAATTCAGCGTCTTGAATAATTAACCTGGAAATTGCAGTTCAAAGCAGCAGTTGTAGTTGTGTTGTGTTGTGTGTCATCTGGTTACAGATTTGTGTCTTTGACAAAAAAACCCAAACAAACCAGCGGTTGCTAAATGACTGGCAAACTTTTTTAATGGTTGGTGTTCCATCTGTTGCTGCTGAAAAGCAGTGCCAATGCATGAATAATTTCCGTGGATAAAATTAAACTAGTCTACAAACCGTGCTCCCTGATGATCTACCAGCATATATTATCCTCACCTCTGTGGCTCCCCGTCATCGGGTTTGGTTCATTTAGGTTCGCTGGTTTTCTTTCTGTGGAATTTAAAACCAAATATCACAAGAAAGGTGAAGTTTCTGATGTATTTGTTTAAATTACTTACTTTAGGATTAGTGGCACTTAGCCATATTACCCAGCCGTAAGTAACATCTGTCTGTGCAGTGTTCCCTCTTTAGAGAGTTTGTGTTAAAGTTATTGTTTCTTGCATCGCTGTAGACGATGTAAAGTTGCGTACTTTTGCTCTATTATAACAGCTGCTCATACACTGTGTTTAGGTCCAGTTGATTGTAGTTGACTTCTGCCGTGGCCTCAATTTAAGCTGAGGAAAAATGTTGAGTTCTCATCTCATCAGATGTCTCAGAGTGGTAACATTTCCTCAGTGGGTGACCTCTTCCTCTCTCGATATGTTTACACTTCTCATTGCTGATTTACTTTCTGTCTGTCTGTCTTTCTTTCTTCTTTTTTTTTGATCTCTTGCCCAAAATGGGATTTTATGAGATTATATCTCTGTATGTTTGCACAAATAATGACTGCTATGTCTGCCCTCTGACTGTAGTACGTCTCCTCTCTCTTTTCTTTCTTTTCTTTTTCTTTTTTTTTGCATTATAAGTATTGGAGTAAAATAAACTGTACTGTCATCTAATCAGAAAAAAAAGAGCCTCTGACGACTTTCATATCTGGTATTAAAGATCTGGTAGCCGTGTGAACAAAATTAGATTTCTGTGCTACTGGACACGTTGACATGTCCTGATGTAATGGGATGAAAGACCTCACTGAAATGAAGGAAGCATAGCCTCTCGCTCTACATTCTGTCCATCCTTACCTGACTTTAAGCAGACAAGACAAATGAAACAGCACACACACACACACACGAGCATGCAGCGTAGTTGTTAGCAGCTTTGTAGCCCTGGCCCAAAGCCAGCTCCCTGTCCGTCTGTCTGTCTGTCAGACGGAGCATGCTCATTACAACCTTGACAACATTCCACTGAGGTTGCCAAGGATACCAGGCAGAGCTGGCAGGACCTGCGTGTATGTGTATTTGAGTGTTTAATAGGAACTCACACAAATACGTAGACCAGTGTTTTGGTTATATGACCACACACACACACACACACACACACACACTCTGTCTTTGCCTTTGCTCTTTTTCTCTCTCTCCCTCTCTCTGTCTCCCTCTCTCGCTCATTCTTTTCTCTCTGTAGATCATTGTTAATCAGTCTCGTCCCATCTCCTCTCCACTGGCTGTCAGTGGCTTGTCAGAAGCCCGTCAGAGCCCCTGCAGTCCGTCACACACTACTGCCGTTAATGACATCTGATGACACCCATCGTTGAAGTCACCCACTGGAGATGACTGGGGACTCGGCGTGCTCGCAGCTTAGGAATCGTTTCTTTTGTTCAGCCCTGCAGTGTGTTTAAAAATATATCTCCAAACATAATTCTGCTTTACTTATGTGCAGACTGTTTGTGTTTCAGCTCGCCTGACCTCCTTCACCTTGCTTTTCACAGCTCCCTTTGAACTCACTGCAGTAGGAGTTTACATCAAAGGTCATGTGAAAACCCTGAATTCATCAATAAATACTGAACTGTTTAAAAATGGTACATTTAGGATAGACGTACAGCTAAGATAAAAGATTGAAAGGTCTAACTCCTTTCAAATACCAAGTTATTGGCATGAATTTGACTAGTAAAACTATTTTTTCCGGAAAAAATATGTTAAATACATTCATGCTGTCTGCAACATGAAAAGCACAAATTGTCCTTTGTGCACAAACTCTGTAATATTTTCGAAATGTTCAAAGAAGCCACGGGAAAGGTTGAACCGCTGTTCAAAGATGATAATCATTAGGCTGCTCTAATAGGCCTCTTTTTAGTGTCTTCCTACATCCTTCCACACCGTCTTCACTGCTTCATCCCCCCTTTCATACCTTTTGCTCCAATTTGTCAGCGTCTTCGTTCATTTCCTTACATCTTTCGTAACCCACCCACTTACCTCTTTCCTCTTTCCTGCTCCTACTCTCCCTATTGAATTAGTCCTCCCCATGCACCTATGGCTGTATTGTTCCCCTGTCAGGGTTTATGGTGACAGGCTTATGGCAGAGCCCATGCTGTGCTGGGAACCTGGCATCGCTCGCCATATCTCTCCCCTGAATTCTCCCATTTTCTCCTGTTGTCTTTTTTTAAACTTCCCTTCTTTTTCTTTGGCCCGTCTCACGGTCTTTTTATCTGTCAGTCTCTTTCCCATAAGCAGCAAATTCTTTACGCTCTGTCGTTGTTCTCATTTTGTCTTCTCCAGAGGAGGAAGTGGAAAACTTTGACGTGTCCAGTCTCCAGGAAGAGGCTCTGAGGAATATTGAGGCTGACAGCTTCTGGTGCATGAGCAAACTGCTGGACGGGATCCAGGTAAGCTGTGTGTTCAGCCTGTGCAGGTTGCCTCACAACATTTTCAATAATAGGTCTTAAAGCCACTACATGAACTTCCAGTAACAGATGCTTTACCATATTACTGATCCTCTTTAGTCATCACTCTAAGCAGAGATGGAAGAACTGAAAGGGTGTTCACATATTAATCTCTTGACAAGACATCAGATATCTGTCAGCTGGCTAGCTTTTGTTAGCTAGCTACCTGTTGTTTAACCTGTTGTTTAACATTTAAGTCCTCTCTTCTTCC